TTTGCTCTGTCTGTCACCCAGGCTGGAGTGCAATGGCGTGATCTCAGCTCACTGCAACCTCTGCCTCCTGGGTTCAAGCAATTCTCCTGCCTCAGCCTCCTGAGTAGCTGGGATTACAGGCACCTACCATCATGCCTGGCTAATTTTTATATTTTTGTAGAGACAGGGTTTCACCATGTTGGCCAGACTGGTCTTGAACTCCTGACCTCAAGGTGATCTGCCTGCCTCGGTCTCCCAAAGTGCTGGGATTACAGGCGTGAACCATTGTGCCCAGCCTGAATGCTATGTTTTAAAATATTATAGTTCATTTGGAATTTTGACATAAGTACCTTTCCAACATAGGCTGTCCAGAAGATACATCACAATTCATGAACTATTTCATATTACACAGCGAAATCCCATAGATTTTGTGGTCTATAAACCATGTCACTAGAAACAGATCTTAAACAGTCTGAAAACTGTTCTTTAAGGAAAAAGAATGCTTGCAGTCCCCTCATTTCATTTACCTGATATATTTTTCTCTACCTCAATAAAACCATATAGTGTGAAAAAGAGACAGAATCATCAGTACTGGGCCAAATGACAATAGGAAAGATAGATTTCTCCATGTGTATTAATCTATACTTGGCATAGCCTTAAACTTTTCCTGCTTATCTGGCAATATGATAAAAAATTTAAAATCTGTGCAAATCTTGTAAATCCAGAAATTCTATGTTTAACAACTTACGGCACGAAAATAATCAGAGAAGCAGGCAAGGAAACATATATAAAGATGCTCATTGTAATGTTGTTTATCATATTGAAAAACAATGCAGCTTAAATGTGCAACACAAGGAATTAGTAAATCATGGTAGAGCCACAGTACCAAGCAGCCATTAATGATAACCAACTGCATATTCACTAATTAGGTCAAAAAAAAAAAAAAAAAAAAAGAGAGAATAAGTACAGTTGTATGTGAACACATAGGAGAAAGACTAGAATCTACATAAAATAGTGATTATCTCTTGTTGGTGGAATTACCAATGATCATTTTTTCTTTTTTCTTATTTGCATATTCTAATATTTTAATGCAATGAGATAAATTGCTGCCCAAGAATGATAAGGGGAAGAAAGAAAGGAAAAATAAATGTCAATGTGCATCATCTGGGAATTTACAGTATTTCATCACAATAAGTTATGCTTCAAATCTGACTAGAAATTGTTGAAAAAATATTAATTATGTTGTAAAAATATGCCACTACAGAGACAGGAAGTCAACTTGTTTCCCCATTCCTGTCATCAACTGGAAAAGAACCCTTCCTCAATTTCCAACAGATGTTGAGGAATATTTCTGAGTCTGAGTAAAAGCACATAATTTTCCTCCTTTCTTTATGCTTTATAGCTTATATAATTGTCCAGATAAGGTGCAGAATCTATGAGAAAGGGACACATAGTTCTAAGGATTGAAGTGATGCTATCTAGGAACTGAAAGTTTCTTTTCCTTCTATATCCCTTAGCCTAGAGGTGAAAAAGCTACACATTCACCTATGCTTTTAAAAAAAATTTTTTTTTTTTGAGACAGGGTCTTTCTCTGTCACCCAGGCTGGAGTGCAGTGGTACAATCATAGCTCACTCTAACCTCGATCAGGCAATCCTCAGCCGTAGCCTCCTGAGTAGGTAAGACTATAGGCCCACATCATCATGACCAGGTAATGCTTTTAATGAATGCTTTTAATAAAGCATTGATAAAAGAAAGTATATCTAAGAGTTAAGGCTGGGTGCAGTGGCTCAAGCCTATAATCTCAGCACTCTGGGGAGCCAAGGCAGGAGGATGACTTGAGCTGAGGAATTTGAGATCAGCCTGGACAATGTAGTGAAACCCCCATCTCTACAGAAAAATTAAAAAAATTTAGCCAAGTATGATGATGTCAGCCTACAGTCCCAGCTACTCAGGAGGCTGAGGTGAGAGGATCACTTGAGCCGGGGAGGTTGAGGCTGCAGTGAGTCAAGATAGCACCACTGCACCCTAGCCTGATTGACAAAGTGAGACTCTGTCAAATAAATAAGTAAATACATAAATAAACTACACATTTAATGTTTTTTATATTCCCTGAACACCATTTTCATTCCTTTTATTTTTTTGAGATGGTGTTTCACTCTTGTCGCCCAGGCTGGAGTGCAATGGTGTGATCTCAGCTCACTGCAACCTCTGCCTCCCAGGTTCAAGTGATTCTCCTGCCTCAGCTTCCCAAGTAGCTGGGATTACAGATGTCCGCTACCATGCCCAGCTAATCTTTTTTGTATTTTTGGTAGAAATGGGGTTTTACCATGTTGGACAGGCTGGTCTGGAACTCCTGATGTCAGGTGATCCACCCACCTCAGCCTCCCAAAAGTGTGGGATTACAGGCATGAGCCACCACACCCAGACTCATTCCTTATTTATCACTTTTAATAACCCTACGAGATAAGTGTTATTAGTTCTACTTTATAAAGCCTGCTTCAGAGACTAAGTAATTGACATTAGGTCAGTAAGTAGTAGACTCAGGGTTCAATCCCAGATCTGTTTAATTCCAAAGTTCTAGTTCTTTCCACTACATGACATGGCTTGCGTTTCATTCAGAGGTTATCAACAGAAAAAAATATCAATTTGAAATAATGCCTTAGGGGTAACAAAATAATGGACAGCTGACTACAACTGCTAATCAGGTCTATCAAAGTGCTCTTCTGTTACTTTGCACTTTATACATTCGTTTATAAGATTCTGAATGTATTGGAATTCAGTATTCCAATGAATTCACTTAAAAGGTTAAGTAGGTTTTCATTACAGAATAATCTCTTCTTGACTGAAGAATTTTTCAAACACACATGTATGTATCACTGCTATTTTATCATTGCTATTGCAGACAAAAGT